GGAAATAGGAAGAAAAAGACATATCGTCCCCCCCCAGAAACAGGAGATAAGGGGGGGGAATCACCCCTCCAACCCCTTCAGCCCCTGCAGCTCTCCAGCCCCTCCAGTTTTCGATGCTTGAAAGCTTTGGGAGCGATAAGAAATCGGCTCAGCTGAGGCAGCTGGAGCGGCTGGAGGGGATGCCTCTAGCCCTCCAGCCCTTCGGCTCAGAAATCTGCTAGAACCCAGCCTATCTCTACATAATTTCTTATTTGCAGGGTGCCCCAACAAGAAATTTCCAGGGTCCAATCTCATCTACGCCCGTTTCTTGTAAAATGAATTGGCCGCAGCGTGTAATATGTCCTCCAACATATGAAGGCTTTGGGGCAATCTTGCATATCAGGGGTCGGGGGCGGTTTGCTTTTGGGGAGAGGGATCTACCGTTTTGAGAGCTCCTTTCTGGGGCGGTATGAGACCTGAACATCATCTACACCCTCCAAGTTACCAGCATTGTCTGCACCCTGGATGTCCTTCTCTTAGGCTGCTACTCAGCTTCTTGATACGGTAAGTCACGACATATGTTTCTCAAAAAAGTGTACATCCATGGGTCCAGGATAGAATCCAGATCAATGCTGGTTACTGAACCCTAATGAAACGCTCATAACCTACTATTGCCTCAAGAGGCGTTGTAATTTTAACTAGATCTGATGAGTAGTATTTCAGGACGCACTTCTAGCGGCTATACAAGTCTGCCTGAAAAAGGAAAGTTGGAAATTTTGCAACTGATGCCCGGGAAATCCTAGGAGGTTTAGGGTTTATAGGGACTTAGTAAGTATCCTCATAACCTCTATAATCCACATAGTAACCCAAGCCAGCCCCATGACTAATCTACTCCCAAGTAAACCCTCAGAAGCATGGATACTCCCACAGAACAAGCACTGAATCTCAACCCTGAGCTTCAAGTCAGGCGAGAGACTGCTTGCTCAGGAGCTGCCCTTCAACAGTGCATAGCACCTCAACATCGACCCGTGCCCAGTAGAAAAAGGATCTTTGGCATGCTCTAAGTGTTTAGGATAAGGCTAAGGCTAAGAACAAGTTGGCGGGCTTGGGGTAACTGCAACGTACCCCTCGACGATGACAGAAACACATAGCACTACATGAGTAACGTTTTTTTGGTGGTTGAACCCAGTAAGATTATATTCCTTATGTAAAATACTATACCCCAAAAGGAGGATATAGTCTTACTCTATATTGGGCACCATAGTATCCCCAAATAAAATACT